CAGTTACCTCAGCAAAGTATAATGGGAGGATATATCTCCTGTATGCTGTTTCTAATGCACTGTGTGAGTTGGTTTACAGTTCTCTAAGGCTGTTCTTTATACCATTCCTCCATCCTTTATGCGGTTGTTCCTTTGCTGTTGTACTCACTTCACTTTTTCGTTGTGGTTCTCTTTAGTAGCTGGCACCAGAGAATTCTTATGACAGCCAAAGCATTAAATGCTGTTTCCCCGTGCGGGTTCTGGGACCCCATTGTAGGGAAGACACAAGAATAGACCCACTGCCTGCTCAACAAATATGTTGTTAGAGTCGACTAACTGGGGGCTTCCTTCACAGTCAGAGTGCATTTGCCTGAGAGGTAAGGAACCAGCAGTCTGCATACCAATAAGTCAGATCTGTAAAACAGATGTGCACGCAACAGTCAAGTTCTGGAACAAGACTAAAATTCAGAAGAGGATGAACAACCAGAACTTTATGCTGGATTTTACAGCTGGTGAATGCGAAGAATAAAAAAGAAGAATATGTTTCTTTTTTTAATGAACTTTATGACTGATTCCAGTGTGAGTCTTCTTTTAATTTGCAATTTTGTCTTTTAACTCTTCTTATTACTCAGTTGCCCATCTGTGCTTGCCACTCATTAGTTGTAATGAGGACAGAGGCTTCTACATTGTACAAATGAGAATCTCAAGGTCATGAGTTTTTTTCATGGCTGCTTTATTTGGTTTGCGAGTGCAATTATTTTTACGGAGACCCCTGGGGTCATTGCTGGAGCTAAGGTATTTGTGCTTTGTGTGATGCTCTCAACAGGTGGCTGGCAGTTCTGCAGAGAGAGACCGAGCCATATGGGACAAAACCCTGTGCAATGAAGTTGATTCTCTTAACTTTAACCTTTAACAAATGAAACTCACTGAGTTAGACATACACTTTTATCAGTGGACCTACTTTCACAAATGTGAATAAAAACTGACCTTTCTCTTGTTTTCAAGGGAGTTCATCTTCTTCTGAGCATCTTCCACAGCCTGGGTGGTTTCTTCAACTCTCTTGTGTAAAGGTTTCACTTTAGAGAGCATCATGCGATGGTATCTGCAAAATGTTTATTTCTCTTTAATACCCTATCAATGCAGCCCATCAAAATTACTATTTCTAAAGCTTTTAAATTTAGGTTAATGAAAATAGATCACAGTGAAAAATTAGGCTTAGAGTTAAACTGTATGAAAGCATAAATTATGGTCATCACCAAGAATAAGTTGGAGTCTGTGCAATTTTACAGCAGTAATATAAATTGATTCATAGAAAGTTCCAAGGAAATTTTTTAAAAACTCTTTCAGCCCTAGGGAGTTTAGCATCAGAGGCCCAAGAGGTGGTAAAGAGAGACGTAAAATCAATGCAATATACGTTCCCTGGGCTTCTAGGTAGGAACCTATGAACGTATGATGCGTTCCTTGGGACTGAAAGAGTTAATTCAAGGCTCATGATGATGACAAAATTCTCTCACCTAACCACACCATGTACCCATCTGCAAAGGGCACCACATGCAGAATTATTTGTCGATTTTGTCATAGTGTCAGGATCAAAGGAAGGCTTCTTTAGATATGACTCAACAAGGGAGAGAGTTGATTCAGGCACTTGAAAGTCATCAAATGTGGTCAGTTCCTCAATGAATCTATACAAAATTACAACATAGAATCATTAATAATTCAGAAAAATAATCTGAAATAATGCAAATTTTTTCTCCGTGTGGGTTCTGGGACCCCATTGCCAGGAAAACAAGAATAGACCCACTGCCTCCCCAATAAACATGTCGTAAGAGTTGACTAACTGGGGGCTTCCTTCAGAGTCAGAGTGCATCTGCCTGAGATAAGGAACCAACAATCTGCATACAAATAAGTCAGATCTGTAAAACAGATGTGCATACAACACTCAGATTCTGGAAGAGGACTAAAATTCAGAAAATGACGAACAACCAGAACTTTCCACCACAGTTTACAGTCAGTTAACGCCAAAAAAAAAAAAAAAGAAGAAGAAGAGGAAGCTTATTTTGATATTGATTTTACCCTCCTAAAAAATAAAAAATGAATTAGTTTTTATATATATAAATATATATTCAGGTTCTTTACATATGCTGTCTTGTCACAAGACACCTGAAAGTCTTTTTCTCTTGGCAATTTTCCAGCCCTATGTGCTTGTGTAGCCAATGCATCTTCAATGTCTTGTTATCACTTTTACGGAGGTCTGCCTTTGCCTTGTTTCCTGGAAACTATACTCTCCATCACCATTCTCTAAGGCCATCATGACATTTGGCCAGGCCAAAATACATTCGCTTTCAGGACACATGGTGTTTATGAGGCAATTCTCCTCGCTGCTCGGTTTAAGTAATATGTCAGTGTTTTTCTTTCTTTCATGGTTCATAGTATTCTACGAATGTTACTGTAGCTAAAAAAATACTTTAGCCTTTTTCGTTGTAAAAAAATGAAAAATACCTACACCCACCCCCAATATATAAAGCACAAATAGACAATATTTCATTATCATGTGGCAGGTCATTTCAAGTCATCAAGTCACTGTTATCCTCACGACATGGAAAGCCACCTGACCCCTTGTAAACCTTGCCACTTATACTAATTGAAGTCGTCCCCTCATAAGATTCAAATTTTTTTTTTTTAAGCCCTACCCTGGCTTTTGTTGGGGGCCCTGAATATAGCCGAGCCACAAATATGGCCTAGCCATAGATATGGCCTGAGTTAAGAGTTATGAGTTGGATTATCTACACAGCACTCCGGACACATCCACAGGCGCTCAGATTTCCCTCTCAACATATTCATCAGCGTTGTGGGGTTAATAGTACCAGTCCTATGTTGGTTAACAAGACTTTGTGTGCGTCCGGTGTGCTTTTTATACTTGGCTGTGCCGATCTTTACTCCCAATTCGCGTATTCTTAGCAGTGATGTGGACACGTTGCTTCCAAAATCCTCAGAACGTCCTATCTCTCTAAGGGCAATGACAATGTCTGCGTGATCCATGGGCCGGCCATCTTCAATTAATGAAGCACCTGCCAGTCTATCAGCTCTCTCATTATCAACAACGCCTGCATCTAATGGCTGAAAGGGGTTTCTGGGACCTCTTCATTGGTGATCCTCATCTGTATGGTGGCACTTTGTGTCCCTGGGTGACTACCTACCTACCTTGCCACTTTATGAACTTTCATGCCCAGGGTCAGAGTGTAATATCCACGATATCCTGTGTTGGTTGGCCCCTTCTTTCTCTTTCAGCAACTACTACTGCTTCTTCTTCTTTTGTGTTTGCCTCAACTCTTTGAGTCCTAAGCAATGTGCCACACGCTTGTTGATTTTTACTGTATGGTTTGCTTATTTGTTTCTCAACTCCTCATGCACCATCCAATTATTGCAGAAACACACTGTCTCCATTGTTAACTCAACATGTCTAATAATTGTTGTATTTTAATTTATTCACACTGAAACATCTTTTAGTCAAAATAACAACTTTTGAGGATATAATAAGATACAGGAACATGTTTGGGACTGAGAGAGTTAATAGGGTTGCTTGTCCATTGTGTTGTGGGTTACAGCTGAGCCAACAGATTTCAGCAAAACAAAGGGTGGCTCATGGGTAGGCATTGCAGAACTGCAGCTTCTTGTCCTTGACAGGTGCTCATGTGCACAAGAGGTTAAACACACTGTTCAGCTGCTGTACACATGCTTATACAAGTAGGTATATTCTCTCCCCAACACCACCCCCTTCCCCCCACAACCCAAATGGGGCCCTGAAACCCACAAAGAGAATTTCAGGAACCATACTTTACATTACTGCTTTTTTCTAAACCAACGGATATACAGTCAGACAGTTACTTGTGTTATCGGAATTGGAACTCTTTGTTTGCTGCTGAAGATGAGGGACAGAGCGCTTATGGGAGAGTCCCGAGTGCAATGATGTTGATTCCTAATTCAACATTAATTCCAAACCACTACAGCCTTTAACATGGTCTAACTTTTTTACATTTCGAGAAAAAATATGGTGTAAAAGCCAGGCCCTCTCAGAATTTAAATCGCCATTTAGATACATTATTTTCTCTGTTCTTGGTCCATAATAAACTAAGAATCTTTCTGTAACACTTAAATTCAAAAGAAATAATTTTCAGATATAATATTAGTTACCTTTCCAGGTTGGCCATCTGGCGCTTTGCTCCTTTTTGCCATGTAAGGTCAGCTGAAGGTGATTTTACTATTTGAAAATGACACAGTTTTGAACAATGTAAGGTGCCAACAACAAATTGATGAAAGCCTATCTAAGTCACAAATACTGTAAAGAAATTACATAACATGATAACAGCATTCATCAAACCTATAATGTCTTCATTCTCTTTTAGTCTCTCTCTTTCTCTCTCTCTCACACACACACTCTCTCTCTCTCTCTCTCTCTCTCTCTCTCTCTCTCTCTCTCTCTCTCTGCTATGGAAAATACTTAACTTCACCATCATCATATACAGGACCTTTGCAGAATGTCGTTCTCCTCAGGGCCTGCCTGAAAGATATTTGGTCTCTTGCCAGTTCTCCTGCCTCATGCACTGTCATTTTGAAAGAGTCACTTACATAATGTGCTCGTCTTCATATTGGTTGGCTCATGCCCCTCCTTCCTGGTATCATGCCTTCTGCAATTATTTTTGTTCAATCGGTCGTGGTGCTTGATATGGCCAAAATATTTCAGCTTTCGAGACAAGATGCTGTTTATTAGCCAATCTTCCTTGATGTTCACATCTATTAGAATGTCAGTTTTTAAATATTTTTTACTATGTCCATAGCATTCTGAGAATCTTTCTATAGCCTTTCAGCCCAAAAACCCCCTATTTTCTTCTCTAAGGACGGAGATAATCCAGGACTCACATCCATAGGTTGCTATACGGAAGATGAATGCTCTCAAAATTGTAACATTAACTTCCTTTCTGGTGCTTTTAACCATATACTTTTAATGTAAAATATTTACTTACATAACATAATAATAGCAGCCATCAAATCTTCAATGTCGGGAGTTGGTTTTTGTAAGGCCCTCATTTCTGCCAGATCTGCAACATTTATCAGCTTCACAACCTTTTTGGTGTCTGCCACAATGGCGATGACCTTATACACAGCTTTCTCATGTGCAGCCTGATAATCTGGCAAGCGCTGATTTAAAAGTAGATTAATCTACGTTAAACAGTAGCATATAACATAGGAACAAACATAAGTACCTTAAAGGCTGATATATAAAGTGATCTTCTTATTATTATTCTGCCCTTTATTCCCCCCAGTGGAGCAGAGGCCGACAACTAGCTCAAGTGAAGTTGTCCTATCCCTGCTTCTCCATGCATCCCCCCCCCCCCTCCACACCCCTCACCCATGTGCTTCCCACCATGTGGATTTGTGGGAGAGAACTAAGCAAATTCCAGTCAGTGAAGAGATGAAGAAAAGACTCTAGCACTGAATAGGATACACACTGAGAAAATATGAAAACAGTATAACTAGAATGTGTTTATACTGGAACTCACAGATAAAAGCAGACCAAAAAACACACAGTGAAGGCAACTTCAGAGTGAGATTTAAAGGATGGAGAGAGTTAAAGTGTGGCTCTTGAAGTCTCATAGCAGATGTGCCTTTGGAGTGTTAGGCCTTGACATATTCTGTTCTAGGTCATGACACATGATGGTATGTTGCCAGGTCAATCTTCCATCATCTTTCCTTCACAGATAATTCTCAGAAAATTCTGGAAATTGTCTGGTAACCATTTTAATGAGGTTGGGTTGACCCCAGAGATATACAAATGGCTTTCTAGTGTACAGTGATGAAAGCGATATTCTGCAAAGGAGCTGCTAAACGATGAAATGATGATGATATTTATGCCTGATTGTTATTCATCTTCCAAGCCTCTCAGCCAACCAGTCCAGCATTTTTTCCCTTTTCTCAAATGTTTTCATCCTCTCAGTTTCCAAAACTTTCTTCAGACCCTGTTTTCTGATAACATAAGAAAAAAAAAATCTTATATGAGAAGGGTAATAATCTTTCTGCATGAGTTGGCCTCTTCTGTGTTTGGAAATTAGGTTTCTTAGCTGCTCATGGGAATCTCAGCTGTACAGGGAAATCTGATAGTGATGATGATGATCATGAGAGCTACTTATGGGGGAGGGGGGGAGGCAGTGTGGTCGTAAGGCATGATGTCCGTCTTGAGTGCTGGAGGTCCCGGGTTCAGGGCAGGGTGAAGGTTGAGTTTTTTTCAAGTGGACTTCTAGTAATTTAACCTGGTCTCTGGGTAGCAAGATCGGACAACTGTTTGTATTGTTGCGCACGTAAAAAATCACTTGGCAGTTGGAAATCAAAAACAGTAGCCTAACGGCGCTGCCCGGGCAAAGATTTGGAGTTAAAAATCAACCCAAAAGTATTTCAGGATCCTTGCTGGTGCTACAGAATTCGTGCACTGCGCTGAGATTCTTCGGACTCAGAGCTGAGTTGGAAGTAGAAGGAGCACTTATGGGTTACTACCCTTGTGCCATGATGTTGATCCGTTGTATAAACCGAAACCTAAACCTGCTTATGAACAATGTTGCAGTGGTGAGGAAAATAGTAACTGTCTCGTACTATTAATGAAAATTACCTTTTCTAAAAGAGTGATCTTCTCCTGCTGCTTTCTAACAATTCTCATCTGTTGTTCAGAAACTGCTGTGTCATGCCCAATCTGGGACAAAATCTGGACAGTGCCCTTTGTGAAGACAATAAATTAAAATTTGTAATTTGTTTTAGTCGGTGCTTTACAAACACCTGACGGATACATCTCCTATGTAAATACATTTGATCTTCTTTTGCATTTCTGTTGCTGGTTAGATGAAAAAAAAAATGTCAACCCTGCCAAAGACAGCGTCACTTTTAATTATGGCCTAAATTTTTGCATCATCCTTAAAAGGGTGGTTGGCATGTTGTGTTGTGGTTTATTGACAGGCAGTGAAATCTGTACTTTTCAACCTAAAACACAACATTTCAGCAAATCCTTAATATTTTTTTTTATGACATGCTTGTTCAGGAACAGGGTTTATTTTTGTTTCTCCCCAAAAGTGTGGTAACATCAGAACCCACACTTGTGAAGTGACTGTTTTTTAAACCACATTTTGTTTTTACATATAAGACATCCCCATGTATAAGACAACTCTACTTTTGTAGTACAAAATTAGAAAATAAATATGGTAAACATATTCTGTGTATAAGATGATTCCCAATTGAACTTTAAAATTTGGAAAAACATGCTGTCTTATACACATAAAAATTAGTGTATAGAGGTGGTTAATAATGTTACATTTCATTTATTGCTGTTTGTACCAGGAGTACCAGAGGTCTCTATGGCTAAATAATGCCTTATAGTCTTAAGGTTGTAGGGTTATTTCACAGAGTGCCTTGTTTGGTTCTTGAGTGCATTTTCTCTGAGGATTTCACTGAAACAAGGAGTCTGTGCATTCTGGGATACTCTGGGCAGACAGCTAGCAATATACAAAGAGAAACTGAGCTATATGGGGAAACCCAGTGCAATGAAGTCGGTCATCTTGATTTTAAAGTTTACACTTTTAAACCAGCGATACTTTGTTCAACCAAACTAGAAAACATCATGTCTACTGTTATTGCAGGCCCCAGCAATGCTGTGTGTGTTGATTAAAAAGTTCCAGTTTGACCAAACCATTCTGTGTCAGCTGTGTATCACATACATATAATTCACAAACTGCTCCGTATTAGCTTTTAATGTTTGGAACTACCAATAAAATATTCATGGAATTTTACGTTTTTAGTTTGTTTACAATTATTTGTTCATACATTTAAGGGTAAATGTATCCAATTCATAACTAGCATCATTTTCAGACAGTGAATTTTCTGATTTTTGTTTTCAAGTGACCATAGACACCAATTTTCAGCACACAAGCACAGGCTGTAAAATGCGTCTTTCTGCAGTGGAAGCTCTGAAATCATTTCAGTCAGATGTTTTTAATTCTGATAATGATAATAAAAACTTACATTTTTCAGAAAGTGATTTGGATGGTGAATTAGCATCAGCGGTAGCTGAACGCTCAGCTGTTAGAGAATCTAGCAATTCTGATGAGCTAAACCCAAGAGAACCCAATTCATTTGCAATAGATGTTATAGTCACCCACATCTGTATCCAAAGGACTGTTCAAAGGGTACCACACTATGGCTAAGCTGCACTGAATACATTGCAGTTATAGTCTGTATATAACTGTACAAGGTGAATATTTTGTGCGTATTGGTCCATTTTTCTGCTATTTATTCTTGTAAAGTTTCTTTAGCGCTTAAAGCCTAGGAGAGATAAACTAACCCAGAAACTTATCATAACTTTTGAATTTGTTAGGAAATTGAACAAAGTTTTGTTCTCAAATCGGGATATGCACTGCTCTTGTGACTGCAAAACCATGGTAGGTGAAGAATTTGTGTTTTGTAAAACTTTTTTTTTTTTTTTTGTAAACACAACACCTGCTGAATTCATTTTCCTTCTATAACTATAACAGCATTCAATATTTTTTTTAATGTCATCAGATTCAAAATGTACATTCATTCCTCTTAAAAAAAAATTATATATATTTAAATATACACACACACACACTTCTTTAGGGATTAGAAAAATATTACATTCTCAATTGCTTTTTTTTTTTTTTTTCAATACCACCTCTCTGCCATTTTTGTAAAAGGAAATTCATTCGAGCCTACACTGTCAAAATTCATAGGCCTGAAAGAGTTGATCATGCTTGTCCAACAGTTATGATAGTCACACAGAATTGCATTAAATAAATGGAGTCTAGCACTGCAACAAACATATTTACTTCAAAAGTTGCACGCAAAAGAAGACAGAAGTGAATGAGAATGTGAAGAGTAATCACATCATAAATACAGAAAAATAGAAACCAACTGTTTCATATTAGATAGGCATGAAACAAAACAAAAATAAAAATTTTCTAATTTAACAAAATTAGAAAGAACTAAAGATTTATTTACATTATATGAATGTTGCACAAATATTTTCTATTAAAATTCTTGAGAGTAGTTGTAAGCATTCAGTTCTGACACTGAAATTTAAAAAATAATGGGCCATTTTAAAAAAAATGCCAGTAGCAAATCTGGAATATGATATTAGATTTATATATTTATAGATCAATCAGCCTTCAGTGGGTGATGTGGTCAGTACCACACCAGCCACCTTTACTACCCAGGAAATCAACTGGTGTCAATTTTAGGATTGGTCGACCTGGGATGGTGTCAATTTTAGGATGGGTCGACCTGGGAACTAAGATCAATGTTGAAACAAAATTCTGCCTTAATGCAGATTCAAACATAAAGCCTTCAAGCAGGCAGGTGAGAATTTAGCCACTATGCCACTAAGGCTAATGTTCTGCCACACAGCTAACATCTTACACGTATGAGCATAATGATGCTGGCAATAAATGTATTGTATGTACAAAATATATATGTGAGAAAATCTGAACACCTTGGCTCACAAGTTAACAATGATGGATATTGCTCACCAGAAATTAGAAGAAGACTTACTTTGGCATACACAGAGGTCATGTGACAATCTATTAAAATGGCTCTGTACTGAGAGGCAGACGAAGCTTATGTGGGTGTCTTAGCAAAAGTAAATTGACATCACTTAGTGCAACAAAGCCTGGCATATGACACCTAAACATCTAATTTGAGAATGGAGGTGCAGGCAGTCACTGCATTCTTTGGCTGGCTTGAGAATCATCTGTACTGTCATTATAATCGACTCACACGGCATGCTGAGGAAGGTGCAGACCGGTATGCTCCGTGAAGAGTGGCAAGCATCGCTTCATAGGTCCCGGGTAGTTGTCGTCCTTTGGATATTTTTCCCAGGAAATGTTGATGTATATTAGGAAATGAACAGTCAGATAGACTGACTGGTTCTGCACAACTTGGCAGTGAACTGATGCATGACAAGGTAGATGTCGTAAGGGCCATTTGCATCTTTTCTATGGCAACATGCTGATGTGAGAGGTCTATTTCACAATAATTAAAGATAATATTTTAACAAATATAAAAAATTAGAGTATTTAAACTTAAATCCTATGGGAAGACTAACCTGGGCATCAAAAGGCTGCAGAAGTTGGATGTTTCTGGAGAAAAGTGCAAATATCACAACCTCGTTGTAAACCGGCACAATGCATTTACATCTTCAGGAGAATGCAGAATAAGAAGAAGGAAGATTATTAGGGTACAATTGACCAAGAAGACAAAAAATACTGGCACTCTTCATGATTGGAATACCAAGAAAGACTGGCTCATAAACAGTATCTTGTCTCTCAAACTGAAATACTTTGGTCATATGAAATGCCATAATGGTTTAGAAAGTACAGTAATGGAGAGTATTGTATTTTTTAGAAGAGGGAGGGGAAAACCAGTATCACAGTGGACTCAGCGCTGACATATGGAATGTCTAAATGAACACAGATAACAAAGAAATATTCTGACTAAATTCTTTATCCATAAGCAAAACAACACAAATACTTTTTGTTTTGGTGTCTAATCTCAGAAATTGTTTTAAATTGTATTTCATAAAATTTGAGTAAATGTTAAAAAACAAACACAAATGAACCTAATATTTGTTAAATAAACAATGATGGAAGCAGAAACATGCAAACATTTAATCATATCTAGCAAAAATAAAAAGTGTTACAAATTTTCTTACTGCTTTGCACTCTTCTAGAACAATCATCTCATGTTCAAGCTGCTTCTTGAGTTTGATTGCAGCTTTATTCTCTTTTGTGATCTGGGTTAGAGTTTTTGTAACAGCTTTGTGTGTTTTGTTGATCTCTAGATTTCTCTGATTAGCCAGTGAGATGAACCTGTGTAATAAATATAAAATGCACATGCAAAAAAAAATACTTTAATAATGGAAGCTACTTCTTCTTCTTCTTCTCTCTACTCCTGGAAATCCTTGCAACGTTTGGTGGTGGAAGAGATCTCTAGAACGGATCCTTCTGAAAGTAAGTAAAGTAAGTAAAGGACCCTTTTTCAGCCTTTAGGTGTATAGGGCATATAGGAGAAACCTATATTTTTATAGACCAATCAGCACAAGATGGGTGATGTGGTCAGCATCACGCCAGCTGCCTTTACTTCCTGGGACTGCAAGTACGGCTCGGATCCTTCTGTTCGCTTCATATATTGTATTTTTCAGTGTCTCTGATATTTCTGCGGTCCATCTTCTGCATCGTCGACCACTGGGTCTGTTACCATTGTATCTGTAAAACACTGCTCTCTGGGGTGCCCTGTCTGCTGCCAATCTTGTTACATGGCCAAACCATTTGATTTGTTTTTTACTTATAACGTTCAGTATTGGTTCTGTGCTGATTCTCCTCCTGATATCATCGTTCCTAGGTCAGTCTTTCTTCGTTACATCTAGCATAGTACGTAAACATTTCATTTCTGTCGTGACTATTTTCCTTCTGTCTTCTGAAGACAGTCTCCATGTTTGACATTGTTAGTAGAGCATTGGTAAGAATATTGTGTTAAACAGTGTTCTTCTAGTGTACGTAAGAGAGAAATCAAACCAAACCTCAGTGATGAATGAATCAATGAGTTAATCATGATCTTTTTTATAATGACTGGCTATAGTGGATTTCAAACAGATTCTGCATCTCACTTGAATGGATACTTCAAGAGACAAACTAATTTAAAGAAGAAAAAACAAAC